CCTGCTCGCTTCAGTGCATGGCTGCCAGCCGCCATTTTGGCTGACAGTTAATTTGCATAAGGATATGCTGATTAGCCAATGGGAAGGGTAGCGGTCGTACGCTAATTACCATGTTTCTCTTTTATTAGTGTAGATTTTAAAAACTATTTGCATGCACATATAAGTATATATTTACGTGTATCACACATATAATTACTGCCTGTGTCCCTAACACGCATCCTGCGGGCCTGCCAAAGCTACACTCCTGTTTGTTTGTTTTTTAAATATATTTTGATTTCAGAGAAGATGGGAGAGGGAGAGAGAGATAGAAACATCATGATGAGAGAGAATCATTGATCGGCTGCCTCCTGCACGCCCCACACGGGATCAAACCTGCAACCCGGGCCTGTGCCCTTGACTGGAATTGAAACCAAGGACCCTTCAATCCACAGGCGGATGCTCTATCCACTGAGCCACACGGCCAGGGCGGCCCTCCTGCTTCTAAAGCTGGTGTAATTCAGCCAAGCTCCTGCTGCAGGAGGTTCTGGTAGTAAGTTTTCATGAGGGGACTCGATACACTTACTCATATTCCCAAAGGGTTTGCTTTGGCCGATCCTGAATTATTTTTTTCCTGACCTTTGGGAAGATGAAATGTGCTTTTCTTTAAAAAAAATTTTTTTAATTAAAAAAAAATCATTACCAAAGGACATGTTTTGATTGACTTGAGAGAGGCAGGGAGAGAGAGAGAGAGACAGACAGACAGACATTGATCGGTTGCCTCCCCCACATGCCCAGACGGGATCAAACCTGCAACTGGCAGGGGCGACACCCGGGTCAGGAAACGTGCTGCTAAATAGCATTTTGCTTTGACGGTTAGAGGTCAGCACCTGTGTCACTACTGCAACTCAACTGCCTCTGAACCCCTGTGACTCGTCACTTCCTGGGGGGATGTGGGGGACGCCCGCCTGTCACAGCTCCCCTCTGCCGAGGACCCCCAGCTCCAGAATGGCTGGGGTTCTCCCAAGTGCCCTCTTGCTTTTTATCTTGGGAAACCGCACCGCTGACCAGCTGTGTTGTGTTTGGAATGGCCGCCCGTGGCTGGGCTGACCCGACACCCTTGTCCTGGCATCCTAGCCTGACCTGTAGCCCCATACTGTTTTCATCCGGACGGACGTCCTTGTTAATTTTGTTCTTTATGTGTATTTGTAAGCTTCCGTAAATGTTTCTTCAGAATGACAGAATGTACACACACGCTGATACCTCGGTGGCCACCACTGCAGCTCTGAGAACTGCAGGTTACAGGTGCAGCGCCCGTGGCACCACTTACAATCAAGAAGGTGGGAGAGGGGGAGAGCAGAAGCCGGGACAGAGGCTGAGGGAGGAGAGAGAGAAGAAAGGTGCACAGGCTGGTGAGTGGTGTGATACCGCATGTAACTTATGCCCATGCTGACTGTTTTAAAAAGCGAAGTTTCGCCCTGGCCCGTATTGCTAAGTGAGTGTAGGCCCAAGCACTGAAGGGTTGTGGTTGTCTCCCTCCCCGTACCCTGGGGGCATGTGTGGGAGACAACCAGCTGATCTGGCGCGCTCACATTGATGATCCTCTCTCTTTCTCTCTCCCCCTCCACTCTGTGGGGGGGGGGGGGGAAGCAATGGAAAAATATCCTCAGGTGAGGATTAAAAATAATTTAATTTAAAGCTAAAATATGTATTCTTAAATATGATCAATGTGCCTGGGGATATATTTAGAAAAATGAGGGGGTGGGTGGGGGTGTCTTGTCCTGGCCAGGTGGCTCAGTTGGTTGGAGTGTCATCCCATACACCAAATGGTTTTGGGTTCAATTTCCCAACCAGGTCACATACCTGGGCTACAGATTCTATCTCCAGTCCCCAGTTTGGAGGAGTATGGGGGGCAACTGATTGATGGTTCTCACATCGTTTCTCTTCCCGCCCCCCCCTCCCAATTCCATCCTCTTCCCTCCCTCTCTTTCTCTCTAAAATAAAACATCCTCTCAGATGAGAATTAAAACTAAGGCAGATGGTTTCTTGTAGAAACCCTGCTTTATAACCCTGAATGTTCAGAAAAGCCAGTGCCCATGTGGTTTGGAAGGATGATTGGATACAGATAAATGAGCTTAATATCTTTCTCTTGAAATTTTCTTGCACAAAATATTTACTGAATTTTACAGAAACAGGTTTCATTTGGGTTTTTTGTTTGTTTGTTCTTTGTGTTTAATATCATCCTGGAGCTCCTGGCAGGACTGCCCCTAGGGGTTTCTATCAACAGCACTAAATTGCTCACCTGCACATGAAAAGCTATTGGTAACTTGATTTTTTTAAAAACTACCATAAGAATTAGCCCGTTTTTCCAGAATAAATACTGAGAGATTAGAACTAAAGTTAATAATCTTAATGGAGATAGATTTGATCTTAGAAACTATCGTTAACTCGTAAGAAATACCTGAAGGAGCACTAATAAACTGTCCGACTTTGTTTTTCTTCGCTCTAGTTGAGATTACATACAGACATCCTGCCAAGATGTTCTCTACAAAGCCCAGACTTGTTGTACCTTACGGCCTCAAGACGCTGCTCGAGGGAGTCAGCAGAGCCGTCCTCAAGACCAATCCACCCAACATCACCCAGTTTGCAGCATTTTATTTCAAAGAACTTATTGTGTTTAGAGAAGGCAGGTGCTACCATATTTAGGTTGGAATAGATGATATTTCCTAATACAAAAACATCCTATAATTCTAGTTTTCTAATTCATTGAGTTAAAACTTTATACACAGTTTCTTTAAATTGAGGAATGCTTTTATTAATATGACAGATATATCATAGACTAGAGGCCCGGTGCATGAAATTCATGCACTCGGAGGGTCCCTCAGCCCAGCCTGCACCCTCTTGAAGTTCAGGAGCCCTCAGGGGATGTCCGACTGATGGCTTAGGCCCGCTCGTGGAGAGTGGGCCTAAGCTGTCAGTCACTCATCCTTAGTGCTGCCGCAGAGGCAGGAGAGGCTCCCGCCACTGCCTCAGCACTCCCAGCCATGAGCCGGGTGTCTGGCTGAGCGGCGCTCCCCCTATGGGAGCTCACTGACCACCAGGGGGCAGCTCCTACGTCAGTGATGGCAAACCTATGACATGCATGTCAGAAGTGACACGTGAACTCATTTTTTTGGTTGATTTTTCTTTGGTAAATGGCATTTAAATATATAAAATAAATGTCAGAAATATAAGTGTTTTACTATGGTTGCAAATATCAAAAAGTTTCTGTATGTGACACGGCACCAGAGTTAAGTTAGGGTTTTTCAAAATGCTGACGCGCCGAGCTCAAAAGGTTCGCCATCACTGTCCTACGTTGAGCATCTGCCCCCTGGTGGTCAGTGCACATCATAGCGACCAGTCATTCTGCTGTTCAGTTGACTTGCATATTAGCCTTTATTATATAGGATTATATATTTGTTTCTGCAAAAAAGCATTTAAGTTGGGGAATTTTTTGTTTCTGATTTCCTGTATTTATTTCTTCAGGGAACATTCCTCTGGATATAAAAGATCTGGTTAGACAATTTCATCAGATTAAATGTAAGTACCACAAGTGGTAATAGCACAATAATATTAGTAATAAGTTATTGCATTAGCAATAGCACACATTCAAACTTAAGATGCCCACAAACGTTTTCTCTCTAAATAATCGCACTTTATGTTGAAATAAACTGATGCTTTATTTTTTATTATTGGATTAGGTTTATTTATTAAATCTAGGACTGACATTTTGGAAGGTTCTCAATCTTAAAAAGGCAAAAGTAGGAAACGTACACTGAGTGTAAACAACGCGATTTAACAACCTTTGAACGTGGCATATATATATGTGTGTATATACACACACACACACACACACACACACACACACACACACACTTTCCGGCCAGATTATTATGACACCCCCCATCAATACTTCGTTGGGCCACCTTTTGCCTTCAATACTGGGGCGATTCTTCTTGGAATTGACTCCACAAGATGTTGAAAGGTGATGCGAGGAATCTGACACCATGCCCGATGAATAGCACTGTCCAGTTCTGTGATATTTGATGGTTGTAGAACCAGCTGCCTGATGGCTTTTAACTTCGTCCCACAAATGCTCAATTGGATTGAGATCTGGTGATTGTGGGGACCACATAAGCAAGGTAAAGTCTCCCTCATGTTCTTGAAACCACTCCTGCACAATACAAGCAACGTGGCAGGGCGCATTGTCTTGTTGGAAGAAGCCATCTCCATTGGGATACACCAGCAACATGATAGGATGAACTTGATCAGCAATGATACTTAGGTATGTTGTGCTATTCAGACGTTGTTTCACACGAATTAAAGGGCCCAAATCACGCCAGGAAAACATGCCCCAAACCATAACACTGCCCCCACCAGCTTGAAGGGTTGTACTCATGCATGTGGAGTGCATGCTTTCATGCTGTTTCCGCTAAATTCTCTCTGCCATCTGCATGATGCAACTGGAAACGTGATTCATCAAGACCACATGACTTTTTTTCCAGTGCTCGACTGTCCAATCCTTGTGTTCCTGTGCGAAGTAGAGACGTTTTATCTTGGTAACAGCAAAGGTGTTCGAACAGGCCTTCGGCTTCCATATCCCATACGATGCAGTGTACGGCTAATTTGCCTACAAACGTCAGGTGGCCATAATAATCTGGCCACCTAGTGTATATATATCCCACGTTCAAAGGCTGTTAAACTGCGTTGTTTACCCATATCTTCAGAAAAAAATAACTTCTACTGTCGTGGTAAACAACCTGCTTCCCTCTTTATAATGGTCTGGCCCTCTAGCAACTTCAGCGTGAAATTATAGCTAATTTGCCTAGAAATGTCAGGTGGTCATAATAATCTGGCCACTCAGTGTATATTGCAAGCCATTTGGTACAGTGAGACTTACAACAGTGTATGAGCTGTGACTCAAACCCTCTCCAGCAGGTCTCCGAGGATTTGTCTTGAGGGAAGCACAGCAAATCAAAGAGAATTGGTTTTGTAGTAAAAAAAGACTCAACTACATTAAAATATATAGGAAAGCTGCATAAACACTCTCCTTGGAAGATCCTTTTTATAAAGAAAAGCTTAACCACCTCCCTCCTCCCCCACCTCAGTAGTGTAACTGCAGTCCAGGCTGGAAGACAATTAGGAAACAAGTTTGTTGTCACTGGCCATCTTTCCTAGTCGTCCTAAGTCTTAAGATAATGAATTCAGTAAATGAGCAATGAGAGGATGGGTCCTAGAGGTTTCATTCTAATATTAGGGAGAGGCAGAGAGGCTTTACCGGTGAAGTAAGTAGTTACAGTTCAGGTGGTCACACAGGCGTGTGGGTGACAAGCAGAAACAACCTTACAGTTGTCCAGCTGTAGGAGTTTCTAGGTCATCAGCTGCCTTGACGTTCCTGGAATTTCCCTCTTGCTGAGGGTACACCCAGGGATCCAGAAATCTCTTTTTTGCTCCTTTTTTGTCGGGGTCAGGGGGACTGGCTGCATTACCCCAGCTCACCAGCAGGGGCTACTGCTTTTAGGTAGGAATAGATGTTGTTTGCTAATAGAAAAACATACTGTAGTCCCGGGTTTCCAGTTCATTACGTTAAACTTTAGACGCCAGTTTCTTTAATGTGAGGAATGCCTTTATTACAATGGAAGGCATTCCATAAACCAGCGGAAGGCTGGGTGTTCCTGGCTGGGGGAAGTCTGTCCCCGCCCTGGTTGTGTGTGGCAGTTGGATCGGCAGCTGTTCCCACCGAGGTTCCAGCTTCCTCATATCCAGGCAGCATTAGTGTCTTTCCTTAGGTGCTGACCAGCTGAGTTGGCAGCTGGTTGACTTGGTTGTCATGCCACCTGAATCACTCACTTTTCAGGAGATGGACGGAGGGAGAGTCTTGAAGTGGGCAGAGCAGGGTAGTCACATTCCTTTCCCCACTACATTGCAGATGATGTAAAAACAAAGCTCTTCTGTACTCGTGTGTATAGAATTGACGTGTGAATGTTTAGCCTGTCGCTGCTTCTTTAATGTGTGTCATTGGGGATGTACGCTTACTAACCCCGGCTGCTATTTCAGTTGAGAAATGGTGCGAAGAAAGGACAGAAGAGAAGAAGCCAGAGTTCATAAAAGAACCAGAAGAAGCAGCTGCCGTTCCCAAAGAGCCGACCCGGGTGGAGAAGTCCACGGACACGGAGGAGGACCACATCTTCGGACCCCAGTTCATCCACAAGACCACGCAGTTCCCGTCCGTGTATGCTGAGCAGCAGCCAGCGCCGGAGGACACAAGCAAGGCAGTCCGTCCACCCAAGCCATGCACCCCCAAGACTACCCCCACCTCGTCACCATCCCCGGCTGACATCCCACCAGAGTTTGCCTATGTCCCCGCCGACCCCGCTCAGTTTGCTGCTCAGATGTTAGGTAACGTTTCATCTACTCATTCTGATCAGTCTGAAGTTTTAATGGTGGATGTGGCAACAAGTTTGCCTGTTTTTGCCAACGAGGTGCTGACTTCAGAGGTTGCTGAAGACACTGTGGTGACCACTTCTGTTGCAAATTCTGGAGAGAGGGTAGCAGTGCAGGTGGCAAGCCACTCCTCTGTCCATGTAGCTTTGGGGTCTAAGCCTACAGACGATCAGGCTGAACCAGCAACGGCTCCCTCACCCCCCTTGCAGGATGAACAAGACCTCCCTGCCTTTGATCAAGCTCCTCGGGGGTCCTGGCAGGCTGGCACTGGGGGGAAGGCCACCCCTCATATCTCATCTATCTTTAACGACAAGCCTGTGATTGAAGCAGTTACTCATATGGAGCGAACATCAGAAGAAGTAGTTATCGCTTTTTCCGATCACATTGTTAGTCTTAAAGAGATTGAGCAGTCACCACCAGAGAGTGCCATTCTTATAGACAAGAGAGTCTCGGGCGGGCCTGAAAAAGCTGAGGGTTCTGCAAAACTTGCCCCATTGGAGGATGCAAACCATCCCTCCGTGCAGGTGGAGGCAGAAGCAACCATTCTGATCTCCGACACCTCTCTGAAAGGCCTGCTTGCACAGTCCCTGAACCCAGAGGGCGCCGCCCAGGCCATAGGCTCTCAGAGATCTCTGCATCTTGAAGTGGAGATCATTGCGCTAGTTCCCGGGCAGGAGGAGAACTCGGCCCCCCCGGAGGCGGAGGTCAGACCTGTGGGCTCTGGGGAAGCTGCCCAAGCCAGGCAGGAGGAAGACTCCGCCCTCCCGGAGGCAGAGGTCAGACCCAGGGGCTCTGGGGAAGCTGCCCAAGCCTGGCAGAAGGAAGACTCCGCCCCCACGGAGGCAGAGGTCAGACCCAGGGGCTCTGGGGAAGCTGCCCAAGCCAGGCAGGAGGAAGACTCCGCCCCCCCGGAGGCAGAGGTCAGACCCAGGGGCTCTGGGGAAGCTGCCCAAGCCAGGCAGGAGGAAGACTCCGCCCCCCCGGAGGCAGAGGTCAGACCCGTGGGCTCTGGGGAAGCTGCCGAAGCCTTGCACTCAGGTGCCTCAGTAACGCCAGAGATCGAACCCGAAGGGGAGGCAGCACCTGCACCAGGTTTGATGGAGCCAGGTAAGAAATAGATACCACCTTAGACATAGCCTGGAGTCACGTTTCAGGCAGCGTCGTATTTCAGGTAACCGTCTAGGAAGGGCCCCTGCAGATTGGTCAGACTTCATTTTAAATAGTTTTTAAAATGCCAAATCCACGGAAAGGTGCTGCTGTGTGGAGACATTACTCTTCGGAGCGATTTTGGAGGGACATGAAATGGGCCTGACCTTGGTCCTCAGCATCTGCGTGGCCTCCCCCGGAACAGATTGGAGTGGACCGGAGCCTGTCGACTGTGCCCATGGATGGCCCTGTGGCCCTGTACTCGGGGGCACCTGACCTCGTGCTCGGAGGGTAAGGTCCCACGGCAGCCGTGCACTTCCCTGGGCTGTGGCATTGCACGTGGAAGACATGGTGGTGTGTTCGCCTCTGCTCTCGCCCCGCGTCTGAGACTCTGCAGCCAGGTTTGGGGAGCTGGACTGAGCCCTGGTTCTTCCTGCCGTGGAGGGAAGACAGGTTAGGTTGGGCTCTGTCCCCAGGAGAGCAGGGAGGCGGCAGCAGCGGAAGGACAGGTGGCACTGAGCAGTGGGCACGGCTCCCTTCTCAGCGTCCTCACAGAGCCCATACCTGCCTTCGCCTGCGGGAGCCACTGCTTCCCTGGACACAGACCCGCCTGGCCTCCAGCTCATCTGATGGTGGCATTGGGTCAGCTCCCTCCTGCGCGTCCACACACGGTCAGGGCCTGTCGCCCTATTGGGTGGACGGGATGAGCAGGAGCCAGCCTCTCCATGCCTTTTGCAGACTCTCAACGTTGACTCTTACCAGAGCCAAATGATGGCTTACAAAGCAGGTGTTTAGACCTAAATTCTGTCTGGCAGCATGACAGGGACTCTGCACAGCTGGGAAGGCAGTGGCCAGGGCTGGAGTGGCCACGGGAGGCAGCGCACCTGTGGCGCGAGCAGCACTCCACACCGAGGCACTGCTCTCAGGTGCTGGGCTCTTCCCCGTGGTCGCCCAGGGCTCTTGAACAAAGCACCGAAGACGTGGCTGATGTGTGTTTCAAATGAGCTCCGGGAAGTAGCAAAGGTCGGAAGCTGTGGGAGACACACCAGCGTGACCCTGTGCACAGTGGAGGTGTTTTCTGGGGAAGAGAAGCTGCACCAGGGACACAGGGACAGTGCCCGCAGGTGAGCCTCCCACACCCGGGCCAGGCAGCTCTCCCCTCAGGAGCCTCCCCTCCGCCCAGCTCCCAGGACTCAGCGCTGTCTGTCGGTGAGTCGACCCCATTAGCTAGTCCTTGGCAGAAGCAGGTGGACAGCACACCCAGGCCTCTTTCCTTAAAGAACCTGTGGGACTGACCAGCCTATGCCCGCGAGGATTTGTGGGTTCAAGCCTTGCTCCCCGGGGTTGGAGTCCTAGATTGAGTGACAGGTTAACGGGAGAGAAGGGTGCCTGTGAAAAGGCAGAGATACTGGATTATGTGACCAAAAGACGACGACACCTCGTGCAGACTTTTTTTTTTTTAAACATTTTTATTGATTTCAGAAAGAGGAAGGGAGAGTGGGAGAGAGATGGAAACGTCTGTGATGAGAAACACCCCACACTGGGGATAGAGCCCTAACCTAGGCATGTGCCCTCACTGGGAATTGAACTGTGACCTCCGGGTTCATAGGTTGATGCGCAACCACTGAGCCATGCCGGCTCAGATTTTTTAGTCAAGAAAAAATTATTATGCAGATGCAGTCATCTTTTCTCAGTGGCTTAACCCACTGTCCAGTGGATTCTCTCAGTCCCATTTCCCCTCGAGGGCCCTGAGGCAGCCACGTCTGCAGCTGAAGCCCCTGGAAACAGCCACTTGGAAGGGGCCGCTTTCCTCACAGCCGGTACCCCCACGTGCCCTCGCAGCCCTGCTCCGCCTCCTGCTGTGGAGACTCCCTTCATGCTGCCAAACACAATTTACGGAGCCCTCTCTCTAGCATGCTTTATGGCACATGTTACTACAGCTGTTCATCTATTCGTAAAACATTTACAAAGATAGTTCTGTGCATAGCGCCTGATACAGAGACCAAACCTTTAACACCTGCAAATTTTTGTTTTATAGCAATAGCAACAAGCGAAGCAGGACAGCCACCACCATATTCTAACACGTGGACCCTTTACTGTCTAACTGATATGAATCAACCAAGCCGCCCATCACCGCCACCTGCACCTGGGCCTTTCCCCCAGGCCACCCTCTATTTACCTAATGCTAAGGATCTGCAGAGTCCACCGAAAGTCACTTCTCCAACTTATGTGATGATGGACGACAGCAAGAAGGCCAGTGCCCCGCCTTTTATCCTAGTAGGCGCCAATGTCCAGGAAGCGCAGGACTGGAAGCCGCTTCCCGGGCACACGGTCGTGTCCCAGCCAGATACCCTGAAGAGATACGCGACAGTCCAAGTGCCCATTGCCGTTCCTGCAGATCAGAAATTCCAGAAACTCCCCCGACATGCCCAGAGTGCTAGTCCTCCTTCCAGTGGACAAGAAGGTCCCCGGCCACAGAGCCCAGTTTTCCTTTCTCTCGCTATCCCGGTAGAAGATGTAGCCAAAAAGTGTTCAGGATCTGGTGACAAACGTACCCCCTTTGGAAGTTATGGTATTGCTGGAGAGATAACCCTGACTACTGCCAATGTCCGCAGAGCAGAACCCTAATGCCACAGGTAATCCCCCACAGTGGGCCTTCGCACACTTGGTTTTCAGCACTCTCATTTGTTGACCTGGAGACTGAGAATTCTTAAAACATTGAATTGAATTGAGATGTGCAGAGAGTTGGAGTATTCTCTGACTCAATGAGATGGTCTCCACTGATGGGGGCACAGCAGTGCACGCACCCAACGGCCCACCGAGGGTCAGGGCCTGGCACAGCCCTCAGCGCCCTCACTCTGAATGCCTGTTGGCCTGTGTAGCTCCCGTGGAAGGCGCTCCAAAAGGGCATGGATTGTTTTTTAAAAGGACAGCCTTCGGTGGGAATCTACCAGTGGGCGTGTTTTGGGGTGGGGACAAGCCTCGGGACAGCTGGAGAGCCAGGCAGGGCTGGGAGATTGTTGTGATGGCGTGCCCAGCCAGTGTGGTCAGACTTGTTCCCTCAGAGAGAGAATAGTCACAGCAGAGGACAGGTTGGAAACGTGAGGGAGCTAAGGAGCCAGAGTGGACCTACATGAAGATGCGGGTTTTATCTGTCACTTAAAATGCCAGTGCGAGTCCCTCCCGCCACGGGCATATTAAAGAGCAACTCGAACAGGGAACCGGTACAGAGGGCTGAGCAGTTTGAGGAACAAGGCACCATACAGGCTCGCCATCAGGCTCATAAGCTGCTGCCTGAGGCTGAGGGAGCCAGCCCTGCAAAGGCCACAGACAGACCTAGGGCTGGAGAGCGATGGGAGTGTCCGCCCTGCAAGGGCCCAGTGAGATGGCAGGTGCACGAGGAAACCGGAGAGCTTCAAGGCACCACAGGTCAGGGGCCTGCAGCTGAAGCCCCTGCACACCCAGAAAGGAGGTCTGGATCGAATGAGGAGCCAGGACAGTGATAGGTCCCACTGGCTGCCACGTGGGGAAGGGTTACAACCAGGAGGCATCTTAGAAGCAGAGAGATGAGGGTACCTATTACAGGGCTGGCTACACCTGAACACCACGAGCTCAGGTACAGCCTGCAAGAGCTCGAGCTCAGCATCCGATGGACAACAGCTGGGTTCACTCACAGGGTCAGGAGCTGCAGGTCTGTGTTTAAGGAGGTAGTTGCAGTTACTAATACAGCCTAAAGCGGTGTGCGTTCTTATTTATCCCATCTGAGGCTTGCAGTGGAATTGTCAAACTCCACTAAAATGCACTGTGTTCAGCATGAAATGCTAGGCTATTCAGTGCAAACGCACAGGAAACCGATTAGGTTAAGAGCTTAGTGGCAGCAGGAGGGTGTTCCTTGCATTTCTGATCTCATTTCACATGTTCAGGTTTGTGATTGAACTTAAAAATTCACTCCTTACATCATTCCTCACAGATGCTGAAAACGAGGCTGTCTGAATCGACGTTCAAGGTGGAGTCTGCCACCACGCGTAATGTATCAGTAAACTTCATGCAGCATAATGCCTCGTGCTCTCACTTCTTTGTTACTTTAGGAGGCATACAAGCAACTGAACACAGAGGCCTTACATTTTCTCAGACTTGTGACATAATAGCATTTGCCAACTCATGTCGACATTGTAAAGAGAAGTGCTCACCCAAGTGTTTTCCTAGTCCGTGTTCCCGTTGGCATTTCTGTATTTGGCATTCACACCAAATGAAGCAGCTCCTGCCATAGCCCTGTTTCCCAGAGAAACACCTACTAAGTGCCGCTGGCTCTCTGGCCCTGGGCTGCAGCACACCAGGACCTCTTTGTAAGGACGTTTTTCAAAAAAAATTTTTTTTTTTAAAGAGAAAGAGGAAAGGGAGAGAGAAACATCATGCCCCAATGGAATTGAAACAGTGACCTCTTGGTGCATGGTCAACACTCAACCACTGAGTCACACTGGCTGGGCTGTAAGGACATTTCTTAAAAATATATTTTTATTGATTTCAGGGAAGAAGGAAGAGGGGGAGAGAGAAACATCAATGATGAGAAAGAACCATTGATTGGCTGCCTCCTACACGCCCCCCCACTGGGATTTGAGCCCATAACCTGGGCATATGCCCTGACCAGGTACATATGACCAGAGGCCAATGCTCAACCACTAAGCCACGCTGATCAGGCTCATTATCCAAAAAATGTAAATAATTTTGTGTCACTCCTTCCTTACCCCAATGCACACATTGCAATCCCTTCGTGGTAAATTCTATCAGTTCCCTGATTGGAGACACCTCATCAAGCCACTTACGCTCTTACTGAAAGGCCGCCTATCCCCTCTGGCCTCAAGTCCCAGCTGCTAAGCAGCCCTCCCTCTCAGTGGCCTCTCAAAGAGTTTCAACTCCAACCTGAAAAGTACCCCAGTAAAATGTAACATAGAACAGTGCCCAGCACAACCTTCTAACAAAGCACAATAGGTCCAGCTTATGGCACATAGCACCTTTTTTCTTACCACGTATCACAGTGTTAAAGAGCCAAATTCAACCAAGTGCACTTGAAGATGTAATTGGCTTTATGAAGTGATTCATGAATCGAGTGGCATCCCATCTAACAACTAGAAGGTGCTGTGTTCTGAGAGCAAAGTGCACACTGGGTATTAGGATGGCGTGACCGGTAGGAGCATGAGGACCGGTCGGGGCATCTGGGAGTGAAGCCTAGAAACAAGCGCCAGGACTCATGCTGGTGGTCTGTAAGGTCGAGAAGGGCCCATGGAAGGTAATCGCTGGGTTTGGTTCGCTCCACCTGGGGACCTGCAGGTGAGAGCGGTGCGAGCCAGCCTGCGCCCAGAGAGGAGCTGCCAGCAGTACCGGCGCTGTGGGGCGGGGCGGGGAGTGGTTGGAGCTTACAGGGGCAGGAAACTTCCTTCTTCCCTTCTTGGTTCTTTGGCTGATTGACAGACTAACGAGAACAAATTTTGTACCTACTGGAGCCCCATACAGAGATGGGCTGACAGGCTTGTCTGCCACCCTGAGCTAGATAAGGGGGTGGGGTCCTGGGCTTCAGCAGGGAGGGAGATCACCCACAGGAAGAGCAGTGAGCAGATGCTTCCAAGCGGTGAGCGATGGTGCCAGGCCCTGCCCGGCCCTGCTCGGCCCTGCAGGTGAGTCTCTGATCTAAGAAGCTGCCTCTCGCAGCAGCGCTCCTGGGAGAGGCCTCTATCCCTCAGGTGGCCAAGGGGGAGGGAAAGCACTCTGAGTCTGCGAGGCCTGGATTGTCTTCAGCTCAAAACGATGTCCATGCCAGGTGGCCCCGCTCTGGTGGTGCGTTCTGCCCCCACCTGCAGGTGAGGCAGGCGGTGAGGTGGTGAGGCAGTGGCCTGCGGCCTGCGAGCCAGGACTCCCCAGCCTCAAAGGGAAGCCCTCAAAGGGCATGGGCAGGACAGGCTTTCCCGGGGAGGGCAGTGTAGCTGCCAGGCACACTACTGGGCCAGATCGTGGTGGAGGGAAAAGCGGGGTGTATTGACGTATAGGGGGACGGTGCCTTCTGGGAAAAGCCATGAAAAGGGCTTGATCGGAAACGAGGCTGTAATGGGCATTTCTGTGATGATGGCTGCCCACTGCCCCGCCCCTGCTTCTGGACATGGTGCTGCACCAGGGCAGTGTGTGTAGGTGCAGCTGCCTCCCCTCCCCTCCTCTTCGCCTCTGAAGAGAGACAAATGGATAGGAAAACAGAAGTAATTACAACTAGCAGGACCCGGTGTGGCGCAGTGGTTGAGCATCAGCCTATGAACCAGGAGTTCAGTTTGATTCCCGGTCAGGTCAGGGCACATGCCTGGGTTGCAGGCTCAATCCCCAGTGAGGGGCGTGCAGGAGGCAGCTGATCCACGATTCTCATCATTGATGTTTCTCTCTCCCTCTCCCTTCCTCTCTCTGAAGTCAATGCAAACATATACAAACTAGAGGCCCGGTGCATGAAATTCATGCACTGGTGTGTGTAGGAGGATCCTTCAGCCAAGCCTGTGCCCTCTTACAGTCTGGGACCCCTCGCTCCTTACCACCCACCTGCTTGCTGCTCCTTACTATTTGGCTTGCTGCCCCTTAGCGCTGCTGCAGAGGTGAGAGAGGCTCCTGCCACCATTGCTGCACTCACCAGCTGTAAGCCCAGCTTCTGGCTGAGCAGCACTCCCCCTGTGCAAGCACATTGACCATCAGGGGGCAGCTCCTGTGTTGAGCGTCTGCCCCCTGGTGGTCAGTGCGCATCATAGCGACTGGTCGTTCTGGTAGTTCCACCATAATGGTTACTTAGGCTTTTATTATATAAATAATAATTGCAACTTATTCATTCCCAGCGGTAGCTCCCTAGGAAAACGACAGACGAGCTCCTCCTTCCCAAGTCCCTGACAGTGAGTGCCCAATCCTGCCCTTGCCAGGCCAGATTCCCAGCTGTTTCTTTGATCCGGTGCGGCACCTCCCCTGTGGGCTAGAGTTAGCCAGGCCGGCGCTGGCTGCTTGCAGTCAGGAAACTACACAGACCTTTCTAAGCTTTCTGTGTGGGGAGCCAGCAAAACCAATCATGGGTGGAAGGCACAGAATTAAGTCTAGATAAAAATAATATCCAAAAATATACCAATTCACTTAGTTATTAAATAAACTGAGTGTAATAGCACAAATGACCCCCAAAATTTATTCAGCTTTTATGAGAGAAAAAGCCCCAATGACCTCATAGCTGTGATGGTATGGAGTTAACTACAAATCTATATATATAAAAGCCAGTGACCATAACAACCGTAACGACTGGTCGCTATGATGCCCACTGTGGCCAGCGAACCAGCCCAATCAGGGGGTGGGGCCAGCCAGCCAACCTCTAGGCCCCTCCCCCCTGCCAGCCTGCCCCTAATGGGACTCTCACATCCCCATCAGGAGCAGGGCCAGCTGGCCAACCACACCCTCCCTTCCCCCCCGCCCCCCCCCCTTCAATCAGCCTGCCCCACCACAATAGGCCTGGAGGCACTCCCCCCTGCTGGCCTGCCCCTGATTGCACCCCCCTACCCCAATAGGGGGCGGGGCTTGCCAGCCAACCTCCTGCCACCTCCTCCTCCCAACAGGCCCAGCCCCGATCCACTCCAATTGGGGCCGGGCTGGCCGGACCTCACCTGTGCACGAATTCATGCACTGGGTCTCTAGTGTTAATATATAAGTGGGTTAAGTCCCCCAACTCACCAATTTATCTGGATTTGCCTGATGACACCTGACCTACTTTTCAGCATTCCAGGCAGCAGTGACTCAAAGCCCTTCCCAGTCTCAGCTCATAAAGTCCTCCTTTTGATAAACCGGACAAGCCTTTGGTGCCTCCCCAGGCACCTGGAAGGCACACTGGCACCAGGAGAGTGCTTGTAACACATGCAACGCACGAAGCGCATTCTGGGTGTTTCAGGCTTGAGTCACAACAGGGACACAACATCAGGTGCGATCAGGAGGGAGTCATATTCAGGGGAAAGTTGTTGGGAGGCGGGGAGAGGAACAGGTAGAGCGCCGTGGGCTCCTAAGAGTCTGGAAACAAGTGGACAAAAGAATCCGAGGCGATCCAGTCTGCACCAGGCACGGGGCAAGTCTGACGAAGCGCATTGTGGTGTACAGTTCGTTCGACCTGGTCCTTTTCCGGTTGGGTCAGCCGGGCATGGGAATGGCAAGGCGAAGGTTGGTTACTCCCAAGCCCGTTCTGTCCGCCCAGAGCTTCCACTTCCGTGACGACTCGTCCTGGTAGACAGGGATGACAGTTACTTTGACATGCTCCGCCTGCAAAACTACAGCAGCTGCCTGCTCAGGAGCTCAGAGGAGACTTTGGGGAAAATACTGTGTCCAGAGATTTTATGTCTGTCCAACATTTCTTAAAATAGGGTAGGACATGCTTGGGGACAATAGAGGAATTACTTTGTTCTAGAATAGCACTGTCCAGGGTGGTGGCTGCTGTCCACGTGTGGCTATTTAAAATACATTAATTAACAAGAAAAAAAATGAAAAATTCAAGTCTTTAGCCAGATTTCAAGAGCTCAGCAGGCACGTGAGTCTCGTGATGACGCTACCGGACGGGCGCGGTAGGACCTCTCCCTTGTGGCAGGACATCCGCTGAGCAGCATGGCTCCAGAGAACCTGCTCTTGTTGGTGACAACGGCAGAGACATATTCCTAGCGGGGACGTCTGTGAATGCACAGGTGACACCTGTGGAAACAGTGCACTTAGCTGTTCGCCTAAACATAGAGGGGCCTTCAGAGGGAGAGATGACAAAGGAGAAGCGCTATTCGGGAATCACCGGTTCAGGTAGGAGACAACACCACGGGTTTATGGGAAAGGGAAGGGGACAACGACATCCGTGGGAGGAAGGCACGTCCACTGGTCAGACAGCAGCAGCGATGCTACTTCTAAACAATGCTTTGCATTTTCAGTTCAGTAGTCGGAATGACTGCTTTCCTGGTACGTTTGCAAACAGTTCTTTGGGATACAATGTTGTCCTAGGTCCAGTTCAAAGGTTATTTTACCCCATTTTATTTTTATTTTCTTAAAATATATTCTTACTGATTTCAGAGAGGAAGGGAGAGGGGCAGAGAGATAGAAACATCAATGATGAGAATCACTGATTGGCTGCCTCCTGCACGCCCCACACCGGGGATCAAGCCTGCAACCCAGGCATGTGCCCTGACCAGGAATTGAACCGTGACCTCCTGGTTCATAGGTCGACGCTCAACCACTGAGCCATGCCAGATGAGATTATGGTACTTTATTTATTTATATTTATTTT